GGGCCCCTTGCGGGGGCGGGGCCTGGCTCACGGGGCCCCAGCCTGTCTCAGTCTTGCCGCTGGCCGGAGGGGCCCCTGCCCTAGGTGCACAGGCTGATGGGCCTGGGGGCTCTCCGCACCAGCCACAGCTGGGAGCCAGCAGGTTCTGGCTGCAGGGCGGGGAGTGAGGTGGGCCCAGCAGGTCTTGCCTGGGCACCTCACAGTTTCCAGGGCTTTCTCCTCAGAGCCCCGTGAGGCACGACAGCTCTCACTGCACTGCACTGAAGTCCAGAGAGACCACGATCCAGAACCCCAGAGGTCACTAGCACCCGAAGCCCACTGGAGTCAATGGGAGTTAGCACCCACGGCCCTTGGGGGCGCTGCTGTAGCCCGGGAAGGATTTCTAGAGAAATTTAGGTGGGGAAGGCTCGCCACGCTGACCAGAGATTCCAAATTTGTCCTCCCTATCCCAGGTTCCAGGCTGGTAGGAGGGTCCCACCTCTGGAGAGTCTGAGGGTCCAGAATGACCGTCAGACTTACAACCAGGATAGCCAAGTAAAGCAAGTTGGATTATTGCAGGGATTAAGGTGGCAAACACAACAGAGACTGGAGCACTGACTAGACAGCGCCATTGGCTCTCCCCTGTGGAGAACAGCAACAAACCTGGGCTGGTCTCATCACCTCGCAGGATTTCACATTCCCAGACGCTTCTTTCCGAAGGCCGCAGCCCCCTCTTCCTGGGGGACCTTGGTGCAGGTGGTGTCTGGGAAATGTAGAAGGAAGATTTAGAGTAAATGACGCGAGATGTAGAAATTGAAACGAGAACGGAGCTCGGTGTCTGACCTCGAGAGAGAACCGTGAGCACCCTGCAGTGGGCGCTCCAGGCCTGGCTGCCTTCGCTCCTAGGCCTTTAGCTCCTTGCTGGCGCCGGGATGACCAGCCTCCTAACCAAAGCTGGACTTTGCGCCTGAGATGTCTGTGGGTACCTACAGCTGATTGGCGATGATATCGGGGGACTATGAATAGGAGACTGTGGACTGATTCCTGGCACATGGAAAAGGCCGAAATCGTGCGGTTCGGTACCAGGAAATCTGTTCTGTACAGTTTTGGTTTTGGACTTCTCTCTGCTCACACAATATTGGGTCACAGCCCACCTGTGGCCAAAGGCCCAGCGGAGACTTTTGCGGCAGAAGTCTTTCATAATTCCCGCACACTTCAGAGAGACACAGCCAGGGTAAAATAACAAGAGAAATAGCCAAACGGGTTAGCCCTTCGTCACGCTGCTGTTGCCAACGCTAATTCCGCCAGGCTCGCGGAAGGCCTGTAGCCGGCGTTACTATAAAGAAGGGCTGGGTGGGAAAGCGAGATCTCAGCAGGCCACGCTGCCGTGGCTAGGGCCGGTGGCAGAGCACACTGGGCCCGGCGGCCAGGGAGGCTGGCTGTGACCCTGGCCTGTGTCCCCGCAGGGTCTGTGTACGAGATGAGCGGCAGCGAGTGCTGCTTGTCCACGGGCGACCTGGTGAAAATCATTGGCCTGCACCTCCAGAAGGTCACCTGCGAGGACCCAGAGACCGGGCTAGTGAGAGAGCTGCATAGCGAGTGCTGCTTGTCCACGGGCGACCTGGTGAAAATCATTGGCCTGCACCTCCAGAAGGTCACCTGCGAGGACCCAGAGACCGGGCTAGTGAGAGAGCTGCAT